GCCCTCCCAGACCGTCTTGGTGGCCTCCTGGGTCTCTTTTGGCCTGTCTTGGGGCGGTTTGGGGTTCCATGACCTCCATGACCTCCTCCTCCCCCCTCCCTCCATGACCTCCTCCTCCCCCTCCCTCCTCCCCCCCAAGAAAACCCCAGACTCGGCAGACAACCTGGACTCCACGACCTCCTCCTCACCCCCCCTCCCTCCAGCGGCAGAGCCACCCCGACGCCTCCTGCAGCACAGCTGAAGCTCTGGCGGCAGCCTCTTGAAAGAGTCCCACGCCGGACCAACGTTTGTTTCCATATCATTGCAAAGATCTTGTTTTCATTATTGGGAGCACAAAAAATAACAATCTCGCTTGCGATGGGAACGGCGTGCACCTGCTGAACAAGTATAGCAATCTACTTTCTGCGTGCCCGCAGTGGCCGAAACTGCTCTATCAAGCGATGAATTCGAAAAGCATTATGGTAACACGCATCGGACACATCTGTGGCAGAGAGCGTGCAACTTGTTTCATGGCGGGACAGTTCGGCGTTGCGACCGGAAGGCGCCGGATGCTTTCGATACGTAGTCACATATTTTATGGTGGACTTCAATTTCCAGGCAAGTTTGTGCGGCGACAGACGCCCCGACACACTGATTGCACTAATAACGTGGATTGATCAATGAAATGAAGCACACTACCGTTGATCAAGAAGTGATAGCAGGCTGCATCAGTCTCTGGTGCTCCGGCGCCCCCGCCGTCGCCTTCAAGGCGCGCGGCCGCCTGTCGTGGCACGCGGGCGCGGACATCGGTGTCCGTCCGTCCGTCCGGGATCGGTGTTTCGTCCTGGGTACCTTGTAGCGGCGGAACGCCAAAGCCGAGAGAGGCGAGCAGCTCTGAAAAGCCCAAGGGGCAATTTACGATTGTGGCCCATTAGGGTCCTGTTGTAAGGCCTCTTGGAGGGCTCTTGGGCCGTCTTGGCGGCCTCTTCGGCCGTGTTGGGCCCACCTCGGGCATCCTGGAGCGATCGTTCGGCGTCCCCGCCCCCCTTCCCCGGCAGAGCCACTCCGGCACCTCCCACCAGCCGAGCTGAAGTCGAATCTGGCGGATTTTAATGTGTTCAGCCCCTCCCACGGAGACACCGGAGAACTGGCGCACCCCCGTCTCCCCCCCCCTCTTCAGGAACCGGAGAACTGGAGCACCCCCCCCCCGGAACGGGAAAACTTGCGCAGCCCCCCCCCTCCCCTCTCCGGAACTGGAGAACTGGCGCACCTCTCCCCCTTCCCCCAGAACCAGAGACCTGGCTTCCCCCCCAACCCCCCCCTCCCCCGGCAGAGCCACCCAGGACCCCCCCAGCTGATCTGAAGCTCTTGCTCTTGGTTGAAGCCTGAGCTTTGACTTGAGCTTTTTGAAACTCACACGCCGGATCGGCGGACTTGCTCTTTCGTGTTATTATCTTGGCAAAATAACCTAACAGCGATGTGTATAAGCATATCTGGAAGCATTCCCCTTAAGATTCAGGTGAGAATCCAGTTGTATAATTCTGCTGCTCTCGCAGTCGCAGTCGCATTCGCAATGACAGTCGCAGTGGCAACGGCCTTAGGATCCAATGGAATCCTAAGGATTCCTAGGGATTCCTAAGGCATCCTTAGGCATCCTTAGGACTCCATAGGAATCCTTAGGAAACCTTAGGAATCCTTAGGAATCCTGATTCCTATGGATTCCTAGGGATTCCTAAGGATTCCTGAGGAATCCTAAGGATTCCTAAGGATTCCTGAGGATGCTTAACTATGCCTACGGATTCCTAAGGATGCCTACGGATTCCTAAGGATTCCTCGGGATTCCTAAGGATCCCTATGGATTCCTACGGATGCTTCAGCCTGCCTCAGTTTCAGCCTCAGCCTCAGCCTGCCTCGGCTTGCCTCAGCCTTAGCCTCAGCCTGCCACGGCCTCAGCCTCAGCCTGCCTCAACCTCAGCCTCAGCCTGCCTCGGCCTCAGCCTGCGTCAGTTTCAGCCTCAGCAGCCTGCCTCAGCCTCAGCCTGCCTCAGCCTCAGCCTCAGCCTCAGCCTCAGCCTCAGCCTCAGCCTGCCTCGGCTTGCCTCAGCCTCAGCCTGCCTCGGCCTCAGCCTGCCTCGGGCTCAGCCTGCCTCAGCCTCCCCTCCTCCCCCCCCCCTTCCCCCCCCCATTCAGCCTCACCTTGTCTCAGCTTCGGCCTGCCTCGGCCTCATCATCAGCCTCAGCCTCAGTCTCAGCCTCAGCCTGTCTCGGCCTGAGCCTGCCTCGGCATCAGCTCAGCCTGCCTCAGTCTCATCCTGCCTCAGCCTCAGCCTCAGCCTCAGCCTGTCTCAGCCTCAGCCTGCCTCAGCATCAGCCTCAGCCTCAGCCTCAGCCTCCAGCCTCAGCCTCAGCCTGCAGCCTCAGCCTTCAGCCTGCCTCATCAGCCTCAGCCTCAGCCTCAGCCACAGCCTCAGCCTCAGCCTCAGCCTGCCTCAGCTTCAGCCTCAGCCTCAGTTTGCCTCGGCTCGCCTCAGCCTCAGCCTTAGCCTGCCTCGGCCTCAGCCTCAGCCTCTGCCTGCCTCAGCCTCAGCGTCAGCCTCTCAGCCTCAGCCTGCATCAGCCTCAGCATCAGCCTCAGCCTGCCTCAGCCTCAGCCTGCCTCAGCCCCAGCCTCAGCCTGCCTCACCCTCAGCCTGCCTCAGCCTCAGCCTCAGCCTCAGCCTCAGCCTGCCTCGGCTTGCCTCAGCCTCAGCCTCAGCCTGCCTCGGCCTCAGCCTGCCTCGGGCTCAGCCTGCCTCAGCTCGGGCATTCAAAATATGGCACTGGATTTGTGTTCTGGGAACACGATGATCACGAAGTGGCCCACAATTGGCTCCGGGCAATCAAAATATGGTACAGGAGTGGTATTCTGGGGGCTCGAAGAACACGAAGTGGCCTACAGTTGGCTCCGGGCTATCAAAATATGGTACAGGAGTGGTGTTCTGGGAGCACGAAGAACACGAAGTGGCCTACAGTTGGCTCCGGGCATTCAAAATGTGGCCTGGGAATGATGTTGTGGGAACACGAAGAACACGAAGTGGCCTACAGTTGGCTCTGGGCATTCAAAATGTGGCCTGGGAATGGTGTTCTGGGAGCACGAAGAACACGAAGTGGCCTACAGTTGGCTCCGAGCATTCAAAATGTGGCCTGGGAATGGTGTTCCGTTGGCTCCGGGCAGTCAAAATGTGGCTCCTGGCAATCAAAATAAGGAGTCCCCGGATTCCCGCGGCACCCGTCCGGCATCTGCTCAGACCCCACTGGGGAATCATGATGCTCTCTTTTGAGACCACTAGAAACCTATCAGTCTTCGCTGTTAGGTGAAAAGGTTTGCGTCCCCCCGCTGGCCTGGGGTTCGAAGAGAAGGAAAGAAGGAGGAGGAGGGGGTCCATAGGAGAGGAGGGAGGGAGGATCGAGGACCAGGGAGAAGCGATGGACGTTGCAGGGATGATGACGATTTCCCACGCGCATAAGCCTCTGAGGATATCTTGCATCTTTCTTCATCCTTCTTCTACCCCTGACTCTCCTCGCTGTCCCGACTCTCCTCATTATGCCCCTCCTCAACATCTTCCTCCTCCTCCTCCTCCTCCCCCTCCACTGCACGCTACTCATTCACCTCAAATTGTTTGACACTCCTACCGCTGCTCCTCATCATCCTCCTGGGGAGTAGGAGTGGTGATGGTGATGACGATGATGATGATGATGACGATGCTGACGCTGCTGCTGATGATGATGATGGTGATGCTGATGCTGATGATGATGATGATGCTGCTGATGATGATGATGCTGCTGATGCTGATGATGATGCTGATGATGATGCTGATGATGTTGATGCTGCTGATGATGATGATGCTGATGCTGATGCTGATGATGATGATGACGATGATGATGCTCATGCTGATGCTGATGCTGCTGCTGCTGATGATGATGCTGATGATGCTGATGATGAAGAAGATGAAGAAGAAGAAGAAGAATAAGATGATGATGATGATGATGATGATGATGATGATGATGATGATGATGATGATGATGATGATGATGATGATGATGATGCTGATGATGATGATGATGATGATGATGATGATGATGATGATGATGATGGTGGTCTTGGAGGCCTCTTGGACGCGTCTTGGGCGCGTCTCGGGCGCCTCTTGGTGCCACTTGCGGCCTCTTGGCGGCCTCTTGGGGCCTCCTGGGGGCTTCTTGGGGCACACATATCGAATCTTCGGTTCGTGGTCCCCTTCCTGGGTTCCTCTTGGGCCGTCTTGAGCGCTTTTTGGACCATCTCGGAACACTCTTGGGCCGCCTTGGGGTCCTCTTGGAGGCGTTTTGGGCTGTCTTGGGGCGGTCTTGGGAGCGTCGTCAGCCGTCTTGGAGCGTCGGAAAAACTGAACATGCGAGAAGGCCAACATCCTTCAACAACCCTAGTAGCAATCTACGGTTTTGGCCTCTTGGGGCTCTCTCTGGATGCCTCTTGGGGCGCTCTTGGGGCCTCTTGGGGCCCTCTTGGGCCGTCTTGGAACCATCTTGGGCGCCTTGGAGAACTCTTGGCTTCGGCAATGCGACAGGGATCTGTTCGAGGCTTGGTTAGGGGGGATGCGGATAGAGAGCGACAGAGAGAGGATGGAGGGAGCGGGTGAGGGGAGCCCCTCCCCTCCCTCGCCTCCCCGCCCCGGCCTCAGCGCTGTTTTCGGCTTCCCCTCCGCGTCCTCCTGGGCCGCTTGGCCCTCCTGTTCTTGAGCCTCTGGGCCTCTAGGCCGTCCTTCTCGCTCTCCCCTCCTCCCTCCCGCCCTCTCCGTCGCCCTCCTGTTCCTGGGCCTCTGGGGGCCTCGAGAGACCGTCCTTCTCGCCCTCCCCTCCTCCCTCCCGCCCTCCTCCTCCTCGCCCTCCTCTTCTTGGGCCTCCAGGGGCCTCTGGGTTCCGGCCCCCCCCCTCGCCCGCCCTAGCCCCCTCCTCGCTCCCTCCTCCCCTCCGCGCCCCGCGGCCAGGAGCGGCCACCCGACGGCGAGGAGAGCCCCGTCTCCGCCCTGCGGCGGGCGCGCCTCCGGGCGGAGTGCGCGCGGCGCCGCGCGGCGCTCGCCGCCGCTGAGGCGCCGCCGTCGTCGTCGGCTTCGCCGCCCGCCGCCGTCGCCGTCGTCGCCGTGGCCGCCGTCGCGGCCGCCGCTGCCGCCGCCGTCGGCTTCGCCGCGGTCGCCTCGCCGTCGCCTCGCCGTCGGAGGCGTGGTCGGCGGCGTCCAGCGGCCTCGTCGGCGGCGTCGTCGTCGCTGCAGCCGTCGGCGCCGTCGTCGCCGCCGCCGCCGTCGGTGGCGTCATCGGCGCCGCCGTTGAGTCGACGGCGTCGTCATCGCCGGCCTCCTCGCTTGCGTCGGCGGCGGCGGAGGCGGCTGCGCCTGGCGCTGGGCGGCGGCTGCCCGCTGGCAAGGTGGACGAGGGAACGAACCTCCCCCCTCCCATTTTCCCCTTGGGTACGGGTAATCCAGCCATCATAGACAACTCACGCTCTGTTTCAGCCTCCTCACACTTTCCAAAACGAACAGGGCGCTGCTTAGGCAAGAGTCGCTACCATACCTGCCCCATTATGTTAGGCCAACACTAGCAGGTGGCACAGCAGACAGGGGCACGGACTTTGCATCATTTGCTTTTCATGTTCATCAGGCTTACGCAAACTCTCAGCAACTTTCACAAGCTATTTTTGTATTGATGCAGTGTCGGTTTTCTACCGATCCTTCAGGCTGCTTTATTTCATTGTGACACACAGCAGATTGACCTGAATTACCTCATCTCGTCACTCGACCTTCCTACTGACGAAGCCAGGGGATCGCTGAAACAGCTCATTTGTTCCCCCCCATCCTGGAGCAGGCTGGTCTTCCACAGCATCTTCACGCGCAAATTTCTGGTGCATGCGAGCACACAGATCTTTATCCAGGCGCTTCGGGCGTTGCCATCACGTTTCGCGGCACCATCCCAGGCCAACAGTTACGAGATGCTCTTTACATTTGTTTGATGGCTCGCGCCAATTACGCGTCGGCAGAGGCCGTCACAGCTTCTCCGCTCAATCGTTTTGTGCTGTCGGTTCAGACGGCAACATCCGCCCCTACGTCTTTTCAGAAGCACCTGCCGCCCAGTCTACAGAGCGCTGAGTCCTCGAGACACATACATTGATTCCTGCCTCTTTCATGACGGGAGAACCTTTCGAATGCCTCCCGATCACTGTTGCAACTATCGTAGAAATGTATTCGTTGGCATCAAGCTTACAAGGTAAACAAGATCATGTGGCCTGCTCAGTGCAAGGTAAGGGCTCCACTAAGTATAAGCGCGTGGCAGGATACCCTAGCCACCACAACGGCCAAATGCGAATGGTGCCTGAGCAGGGCACGCTTCGCTCTGGAATTCTCCAGATTATACACAGATTTGTGTACACAGTCCGACGAGTAATCACGCACCGGACCAGAGCTTGCACACATGCGGGGGAGGCAGCCTCGAGCTGGACAAATCTTGCCAGGCATTTCATCAAGCACTCGTGGCACACATGGCTTCACGAGCACCTCCACCTACTGGACTCCCCCATCTTGCCACCACGCTTCTTTAATGCCTCAATTTGGCAGCAACCCACGTGTCCTCATATATTCATCCTGCAAGGAGAGTTCATGCACATGTGCAGAAAGCTACTCAAGCTGCCCAGACGCGACAGCAAGGCTGAGCAAAACGATTTTCTGCTGGCCAAATTGTGTCGACCGCCACTTCTCGTAGTAGATCTTTCGTTGGAGACGAAAAAAGGCGCGCGCCGCAATCCATTCCAAACGAAATTCAGTTTTTGATGGTTTCAGTGTGCAGGCGCGCCCTGCCGCGCGGTGGTTTCCCGGCACATCTTAGAGCGTGCTGGCGTATAATGCGAGGCATTCATGTTGCGCGTTGCGCATGCTATTGCGTACGAATCACGCGTGGCTTGAGCTACGGTGCAGACGCTTTCTTGCGAGGCCCTTCAACGGCTCTCTCAGGGCCCGCCGGGGCCGCCGAGTGCCGCGAGCCCCGGGCAGCCATTGACGCCGCCGCAAGGGCCGCCGAAAGAGCCGTCGAAAGGGCCGCCGAAATTGCCGCCGAAAGGGCCATCAAAATAGCCGTCGAAAAGGCCGCCGGAATTGCTGCTGATTTTGCCGCCGAAATTGCCGCCAAAATCGCCGCCGAAATCGCGGCCAAAATCGCCGCCGACATTGCCGCCGAAGTTTCCGCCGAAATTCCGGGTTGTGCTTCCGAAAAGAGGCCGAACTTGACCTTGGCTGTGACTCTATATTGTGTCCGCGGCGTGAATTTCGGCGGCTATGTTTTGCGAAGTTCGCAATTATTTCAGCGGCAATTTCGGCGGCAATTTCGGCGGCAACTTCGGCGGCAAGTTCGGCGGCAATTTCGGCGGCAATTTCGGCGGCGATTTCGGCTGCGATTTTGGCGGCAATTTCGGCGGCGATTTCGGCGACGTTTTCGGCGGCCCTTTCGGCTGCCTTCCTGGCTGCCCTTTCAAGGGGCATTTCGGCAGTTTCGCTTTTGACAGCTTCGACAAATGCTGCTGGGAGCTCGCAGCACTCGGCTGTGGAAGAGTCGATGTGCAGTGACGCAGGCTGACGTGCCCTCAGCGCGATGACGATTGTAACACTTGTTCTCTTGTGGTCTTGGCAGTGATGATGGCGACGGCCGCGGTGATGTTTGGTTCAAGATGGATACTCGTCAGGGGGCGTTGCCGGCGGGCCTACGCGCCCAGCACTGCATGCTTCCAAACAATTAAACATTACCGCGCAACTCCTTCGGAATTCGGCGGCTATTTTTGGGGACGTGGTGGCTCCAAAGGATGGTCCTCGGTGACGCTTCCACAGACTGTGAGTGCCATGAGATTGAGGCTGTTTGGCGTTTGCCTCCGCGCCTCGTTTCGCTGCTGGCTCAGCTTGGACAAGATGCCCCCCGCTCATGGGTACGCCTAAGTTATGGGGCCCCCGCGCGGCTTCGTACCTTTTTCAGCTTCGCTCAAGGCGATGCATATCCCGCTAATTCATCTTGGAGAACCGGAAGGTCCCTCCCATTCTCCAAGAAGATGCATCCTCCGAGTCGCGCTCACCGCGGGGGCACAGCATCATGCCAGGAAGGCGTTCGCATAACCAGCAGCCTGAAGTTTGTTTCCGTTCGTTATTCCACTGGAGATCCCACCCCCTCGGACCAGACGGAACACCGGGCAAAACAATCAATGGTGGATACCGACGGCCCACGCAAGTTTCCATGCCCGTGGTGCTCTAGGGACCTCAGACGCTTCAAGGCTATCAAGCTGCGCATCTCGCAGGGACGTGGCCATTAGCAGGGAAGCTGGCGCACGGCGTCGAGACGATTGTGCCAGATGCGTCCACGTGCCAGGCCTGCCAGGCAAAATTTGGATCTCGAGCGCCCTTAATTCAACGCCAATGTTTTGATGCGTTGTATGCGCAGCTTCCCTGCTCAGCCATCCCACTGGAGTCCCGCTCAGGCCGATGAGCTTGTGAAGTTACAAAGCGACCTCGCCAAGTCGCAGGGCAAAGCAGGATTTGGGGGATGGAACGCCTCTTTACCGGCGAATCGGAAGGCAACCACACTTACCTCAGCCTCGCCCAAGCAGACGCGCGGGTGGTTTTTGTTGCCTCCGAATACGCTTTGGATGAAAAGGCCGTCGATGTTATTTTCTTTATTGCTTCCCCTCCTCATGTTGCCCCTGCTCTTCCGGCTCTTCCTGCGCGGCATTGTTCACCGAAAGAGTGCCGCGAGACAGCGGCAAACACTATCCTTCCTAATATCAAGGCAAGACATAATCTTTCTCTTCCACCTCTTCCCAGGGCGAAGACGTGCAGGTGGCGTCCAAGATGTCGTAGGATATTGAACGCCCTAGCCTTCCCCCCACACTTGCGTCCTGTCAGCGGACATTGCTATTGACCGGGATTGTGGTGGCTTCGCTCAGCCAAGTGCCATCATGTTCTGGCAGCGCCACATCTACGCAGGGCGTGTCGCGGCATCAGGAAGCGGCCCCCCCGTGACACTTTGCCGGCATCGCGTCGGCATGATATCGGCCCATCGCATTTGAGCGCGGCACGGGATGTCCAGGGAACTGAGGGCGCTATCCCCATGTAGTCCAGGCATCTTCGTTCCTTTCGTAGCATGCATGGAAGCGGGCGCGTCGGCGTGGATGGAGCAACCCACCCAGGCGCATGGGGGGCCTAGAGCCAGGCCCGGCTGGGGGCGGAGGCCGCTCGTAGTTTCAGCTGCCGTTCTAGCGGCCAGCGCTCATTGCTGCAGCGGTTCCGCAACCATGGCTCGTGGGCTCGCCGAAGCGGCGGGCGGCCCCTTGGCCGCGCCCAACGTGGCATCGGTAATGGGCGAGGACGAGGACTTAAGGGCTCAGAAGAAAGCGGCTCAACATCTGGGCACCGCGCGAGTCTTTGAGCCCCTCCGATTCCCTCCTGACCTATAACAATAGAGCGGCACAGGCGAATGCCGAACGATGGGGGCAAAGCACGACAATGGAGACAGGCGCGTGCGTCAGGACGGCCCAGCCACTTTCGCCCTTCTCCCTCCCGGGATTTTGTTTACAGACGTTTGTGAAGTGCGAGGGGGCCGCCCGCGGGGCCGCGAGGTCCAGGACTTCGCGCCATGATGCAGTCAACCCGCATTGTCAGGATGAGCAGCTTTCCAAGGATATCCTTGCATCCTTCCACTTCGGTCCATTCTTGGCCGCTTTCGCTGGCCGCGCCCCGCTCGCAACGTGTCGACATGGCCTTCCAAGGCCCATGCCTCGTTGTCGTGCGTCCTCATTGTGCGGCTGCGCGCTAATTTCGGGTACTCATTGAGAGGGCGATGCATTCGCAATGGAGCTACGAATGTCATTGTCGAGCCCCCCCCCTTCGCGTGCCCGTGCATCGCGCCGCCGTGGCTGTTCTGGTAGCGCGCTCGCCCGAAGTCGGCGACACTGCCGCCGCCTTGCGATTCCTCGCTGCCGCCCAGCGGCGCGAGTCTACTCCAGATTTCGTAATAAAGGGAGGGCGGTCTCATTTTGGGGAGGGGGGTCTTTTCCAAGCTATCTTGGAGGGCCTGGGGGGTCTGGGGACGATGTTTTGGAGGGTTCTCCCACGGGGGAGGTCTAGAATGGCTTGTCTTGGAGGGTCCAGACCCCCTCCCTTTTATTACGAACTCTGGAGTATGCGGATGCTCATTGAGAGGGCGATGCATTCGCAACGGAGCTACGAATGTCATTGTCGAGCCCCTTCGCGTTTCGCCGTCGGGGACACCTGCCCCTGGGCGGCTGGAAAGTTTATACCCCTACGGTGCCGCGGTAAGGGTATAAACTTTCCAGCCGCCCTGGTTCAGGCGCCCCCGACGGCGGAACAACATATTTTATACCGTTTTTCGCCCGTTAAT